GTCACCTTGGAATACCAATTATAGCACTTTTTTATTTGAGCAATGATACTTCTACTCACACAGGAAGAGTCATCGATACATTCATTTCCACAGTCTTGACAAGCACATTATTGTTCTGTATATTTCTATTGTCAGGACGTAGTACCGTCACGCTCCGAGTATACATGGAATCCTACAGCAACTAGAAGTGGAGAACTCTATTTCTCATTACACATTAGAGACATTACACATTAAGCTTATCCATCCTACGAATCTGCATATTCAACCGGTACATACACTGATTCGAAGACACTCAATCTCACAAGTCCAGGAAGTTCCTTGTGTGAAACAGAGTTCGCGTTCTCAGGCATATCTTCATTCAAGATAGATAGCTTGAGAGTAATCCCTGACATCCCGCCACGCAGTACATCCTGTCCCAAACCCACTCGTCATTATTTCCGTCAATTTTCGGTTGGAAGAGTGATGTACACACTGACAGAGAATTTTACGAGATACTGTCGCATTGTAAAGAACAACTCAGAACTGTGATTCTCATTCTGACAATTTCTTCGAAGATCATGGTGAGATAATCTCGAGACCAGACGTTACGGATTCAGACACTGCTGGTGTGTCGATTATTACCGTGACGTGTGGGCAGCAAATAACTGTAAGGCTGGTAGGACAGAACTGGAAGGCCGACCTTTTCTAAATCTCTCCGTGACCACCATCAAGCACGCTCTCGTCGACGCGTCTCTGGCGTCATGGCCGGCAGGAAGCAAGCCCAAGTTGATAAGAGTGCCCAGGAGTCAGATGGGTTCTTTTGTTTCCGTATCATACCCCGGAGTGTCTAATCCGGCTAATTTCTCGTGAGTTTCAAGCTCTTTTTAAATGGCGCGATGGCGATGACATCTGTGGTGTCACGTTGTTCTTTCACATGGGGAATTTTTACTTCCTGTGAAAGAAGTCGAAATAGACTGGCACTGGCAACAAGTTGGCAGTCGCCCTGGAAGTACTTACCCGACCCTCCCACATATCAAAAGCACCAAAAACAGTGCTCCTGTTTATGTCGAGAATATCCGAAACATCACATGATTGCGAACCATGTCAATTGTCCTGTCGTCGGTGTTATCAGCGGGCACTGCCGGTTGACCACCTATACTCAGTTCGACTACACTCAGCTACGCAAATGAAAGCTGGACACTAAGTAGGTCGACTGTATGTATAATGACTCTGACCACTGTAACCCTTCAGTGTCACTTATCAGTCAGACAATGCATTTCCTCATCAGTCTTACTGATATATTTCTTGAAGACTGTCACGCACGCTGCGCGACGAATCACACACACAACATATGGTGATGAGTGTTGTTCCTGAGCGTAATAAGTTCGTATGGTGGTGAGCAGAGTGTCAAACTACAGTAAATTAACGTTGTTTCTGAGTGTAATTAGTTTGTATCGAAAACAGCAATGTGAATCACCTTGACTGCTGAATATTGGTACATAGCAGGCAACCCGTCAATTGCTGGTGATTCTGACTATTTGATCCTTTGCCTTCTCGAGGCTACGGACCGTCTTGCTGTGTCCAAAGACCTTGTCAACGGCCAAGTTACGATCACTACTTCAGAACCACTTATCAATCTAGGTTGAGCAATTGTCAGGACGCTAACTTGAGCCTGCCAGCCGCAGTGCGAGATAAATGCAGCTCTGAAGTCTCACCAACAGTGACAGCCGTCGTTTGTGATCACGGTAGTGTTGATGCTCATTTTTACGCTTATTTCTTCCAAGGTCCATGGAAGTCATTAGAATATGAAGAGAATCTCAAATATGAACTGAGCCTTATTGCCCAAAAAGAACTACTTTCCTGATTCTTTTCACATTCGATTAATAGTACAAGTGATCTGAGGTCACCATAGAGACGGCACGGAATCCGAACTGATCGATGTCAATATTCAAAACGACGTTGAAACCTAAAAGCATCTGGGATTTCGCGGCCGCATCCCTTGTTCCCTTCAAATTTCGTCTCAAAATTAACATTCCTTTGAAAAAATCTTATCAATCCTGCAGTTCCCATTTTCAAAATGCGTTATAGTTTACCCCTTACAGCTCCTCTTCTGGTGTCGGCCACTCCCGCGCGTTTTTATGGAAACCGTGCAGCTTCTGGTGCTCTGGTTTCCAGTGAGTACACGTAAATACCTCTTGGTAACATTCTCTATGTATATTTTCCCTTGCCAGAGTTTGCCGACGTGTTGGAACAGCTAGAGAACAGGTTCTACATGCAGATGCCGATTTCACCACGGCTGGTTTTTCATCAAGTCAAATTCCTACCCAACAGTTCCAGAGCATCTAAAGTAATGAGGGTTCACACTTACAAATGCAACAAAACGCCCTCAAGTCTTTCGGAGAAATTGCCATCACAGGTTGTAACTTTGACTTCAGCTCCGCACTGACGGACGTTTCCAACATGGCTGCTACTGCCCGTGTCGTTGGAAATCTTGGTGTATCTGCGTTAGTGGAGGAACTCTGCCCACTGATCCTGTCCTATTGGATATGACTGGATCCGTTCTGACGGTCGCGATGATAATGGGAACAATTTTGTGCACTACAGGTGCAGTCCTAAAGATGTCTTCGTATCCTCCTCCACTCGTCCCAGGGAAACCTGATCCATCTACTACTACTGCAAGAATTATCTTCCCACTTTGATGAGAGACAAAGGGACGTAGTCTCGAAGGAGAGCTTCATTTGTGTCGTTTGGTCGAACGCCATTGACCCCATACGGCTTGATGAGTAGCAAACGCAAGCCGTCCATGTCTTTGGCTTCCTACCCAAGAAACCATTCGCTGTTCACGTTGACTTTCACCGCAAAGTTTGAAAACAACGGAAAGTATCCGATAATGTAGGGCCAATGGGGTGAGTCAAAATTAGTCCATGAATACGTAGGTATATACATTTAGCCTACAGAGATGTGAAAAGGCTCAGTTCTCACCGACCTGGTGCAAACTACTTGACATACCAGTCAATGCAGCCAAGACGCAGCCTCTCACTTCCGCGCCTTGAATCTGTCATCTTTCTTCCTCATAACCTTCCCCTTCCTGGTCTTCTTGCTGCTTACCTTCTTAGGAATAGGAGTCGGTGTCTGCGCAGGGGTCGCTGTTGGCGCTGCTCCTCTTATTCGCACACGACCATCCTTCAAAGTCTCTGTGACTACAGGACTCGCTGCGGGACGGAATTTGTGTTCCTTGGAGTACCTGAAGCTGATCGATGAATGACACAGGATAAGACTAGAAATAAGAGATAGCTCACCGAGACGCGTAGACGACATTAGCTTCGCGATTGTTCTTCGAAAACTCCGATCGTAGGTTGAAGGCAATCCAAAAGAGGATGATAGCAAAAAGGATAAGAGCTGCGCGCTTGAACGACGAAGGCGTAGATGGATTGAACCGAGGATCAGGCAGAGAGTCGTCTCGAGTTGGCAGTGGGACTTTGTCGCGTTTCGCGTCGGTCTCTAGATCGAATTCGGCAGACCTCTGAGTATCAGAGTGAGTATCAGACACGCTTTTCGAAAGCACCTCCTTCTCTATTTCAATGGGTTCTGTGCTTGCCATGAATGCTGGCCGTGTGTGTGAAGTGATGGGTAAACCAGCGATATTGCTTGCACGAAAAAACAAATATTAATATTATATATTACATAACTAACTAATCCAAAAACCGTCATTGTAAACATGAACCTTCGCCCGGCTTCCCCGAGTCTCTCTAACTTCGACAGAGATCTGTTTATTTTCCATATACATAAACCTGTCAAAACTGACCGTGAATTGGGATAATGTCAATTAAGTATTATCCTCATAAACTGACTCTGATGATAGTCCGGGCAAGATGTATCATGTTACAAAATTTGAGGGAAGTATCTGGTTAAGTAAGAATGAACGGTACCTGTTCCAAGTCCTTGCATCGAGATTCTACGCCTTCAAATGTTTGGATCTGCGACATGAGAATTTCACAAACAATTTGGAATATTATAAAGACTACTGCCGTAAACGATGTGGAATGTGCGACAGTGCCCCAGTCTAACGCATGCGATGATCAGTGACCTGCGATAACCCACCTCACCAAAGTTTGCCAATTGCTAAACGTCGATATCATTTGGGCGCCGTCAGACACCGTGAAGAGAAAAGGCCTTTACTCATTTGATTGTTATCCCATTGTCATCGCTCAGCAAAACGTATGTACTTATCCAATGATATTCAGTGTTCAACATTAAGTATTCATACTCAACGTTGAGCGCGTTAACTCACAGATCCCAAGATACATACTTCTTCCTCGGCATTCGAAGATCTTTCTTCCATGTGCTTTCTGTTGCCCTCATCAATTTCTCCGCTGACTGGTCTCGAAGATTCTTCGATTTGAACACGCCCAACACGCCGAGGCCGATATTTGTCACGATCAGGACAGAGCTCACAGACACTTTGCGTCATACTCCTCTGACAAGGAAAGGTTCGTCTCGATGGGCCAATGATGGTCAGTGTGGTATATAGCTCGAATGGTCATATCCATGTAATGAATCCATAAAGTCGTTTCCATTCTCTTCAACTCTGACGGCCCTACTCCCAAAGACGTTTTCCCCTTTCGCCTGAATTACAAGCTATTCGATCGAGCAATAACCGAGATTGATATCTTGGACCCGGCAGCTCCACCGGGCGAACATGGCTCACACCTCTATCGCTGTATGCGCGCCAGAATCGCTTCGTCGCCCGGGATGGCTGGTCCTGAAAACGGCATTAGGGAGCATCGGACATGACCGCGCCGCATCTGGGTGAGTTTGAGTAGAGTAATCAGCGGCGCTGCTAGAACGATTACTTTTGTTGAATCTGTACCTGTCATCGGCACTGTACAAAGTGATGGAGTCCATATTAACGAGAAGTGGGCGTATGACCGCTTTCGCGCAATGCAACGACTAGCACACCGTCGGCGCCATATCTTTCCTGAGCCCCAATCTCAAAGATAATCCACTTCATATCACATTCATTTGTGTACGGGGAATTGAACCCCGAGCTGCCGCGGTCACTTCTTGCAAAGACAATGAGAGGCGGCAATGTTAGCCATTACACCATACCCGATAATTACAAGACAGTCTGAAAACCTTTAAGAGACATTCGCGGTTTGAGGATGTTATGACGATGGAATCAATCAAAGAGTCCGAAAGGAGTCGATCTCTCACTTACTACGAAGTGAAGATCATGTAGTATCCCGATAGAGGATGATCCCAAAATCCCTGGAAGAAAGGGAGTAATGGGAGGTGAACACGAGAAAAAAATCAACGTACATTGCATGGTTTTTTCTATCATTTTGCACAAGCGAGTAGAGAATAAAAACAAAAAGCCTATTTGGTTCGCTTTGAGTAAATAGCTGGTATATGAGACCCGAGTTATAGACCAGATTTCCTAGGCAATAGCTCTGTATAAGATCTTCTCAAGCGGAAGGGACCTCGGAAAGAACTCAGTACTGTTATTCAGTCACATTGCGTCGGTCAACCTTTCAGAGTAGATGGTGCCATCTCGTATGTGCATCCATCCACCTTTGTATGTACTTAGTAACAGGGATACATTCGATTCGCATAGACCCGCGCGTCGTAAGTCTCCTTAAAGCCTCGCTTCTGACGAGAATTTACGCATTTGATACGTCGTGCATACAGATATAGAAAGAGGTAGAAAGGTTCCATTCATCAACGCTCGATTTATGGATCTTATCAAAGATCTTATCTGCATCGTCGGTTACGTCCGTCTTTGAAATCAATTTATATATAGTCCACACGTCATACATTCATGACCATGGCCGACGGACGAGCTATAAAAGCTTCCTCAACCTATTATCAAGCGCTTACTATCCCACACATTCTTCTCAAATAGATCACTCATGGCTGAAAAACCAAAGTTTAATGTCCCTTATGGTAGGTGTGCGTGAATTAGGATTCTTATGGACAATCTAATATGGCTTGTAGTCCGTCTAGGAAATTCCGGCCTCAAAGTATCTAGGATCATCCTCGGCACGATGCAGTACGGCACTTCGAAATGGCAGGAATGGGTCTTGAGCGAGGAAGAGGCCATAGAACATATAAAGCTCGCGTGTGTACTGTTTTTCTTTCTTCCCGCCAATAAGAAGTTCCAATCGAGTGCATCAATGGAAAGGTACGACGCAGGCATCCAGACGTTCGACACTGCCAACGTACGTGCATATCTTATTTCACGTATAGATCATCGTTGTTAGATTTGGGCAGGTATACTCCAACGGCCTCTCAGAGATAATCCTAGGAAAAGCCATCAAACAACTCCAGCTTCCGCGCGAAGAGATCGTCATTCTAACTAAAGTCTGTTCTCATTTCTGTTTTTCACGACGACCCAGTCTCGCTCATCTGATGAAGGTATACTTCACTGTTGCGCGTGAATACGCCACAAACCTCGTCGCTACTGGTGAGAAGCCTGAGGATCTCGGGTACGTTAATCAGCGTGGGCTGAATCGCAAAGTTCGTTTCTTTTATCATTCCTACGCATACGGTCTCGTCCCAACGTGTGAATCATTCAGCACATCTTCGATTCGGTCAAAGCGAGTCTCCAGCGTCTCGGTGTGGAATATATCGACGTACTGCAATGTATGTGCACTTTTCCATCGTAAGGTGCACATATAGTGACATAGAGTGACGTACGCAGGCCATCGATTTGACTATGAAACGCCCATCGAGGAGACTGTAGGCATCCGCCTTTCCTCCTGCCTGATTCAATCGGCTGATCAGATAACAAAATAGATGCAAGCCTTACACGACGTTGTGAAAGCCGGATACGTGCGCTATATCGGTATGAGCTCGTGCCATGCTTACCAATGTACTTCTCCCTCGCTCCTCCTTGACTCTCGACTAACTACATCTCTCTCTCAGTCCACCAAATGCAAAGTACGCTTTACCTTTCCTACATCCTATTGAGTCGAAGTTCAAAACAGTCATTCACAGACTATGCAATTACCCACAATCTCACCCCGTTCATCTCGATGCAGAACCACCATAGCATTCTCTATCGCGAAGAAGAGCGCGAGATGTTCCCCACACTCAAGGTACGCTCTTCCTCTTCTCGTGCTGTAGTGCTGTCACATTGCTTCTGAACAGTTATTCGGCGTCGGCGCAATCCCCTGGTCCCCACTTGCCCGTGGGCTCCTTACGCGTCCGATGAGAGAGCAGACAAAGCGCGGGGGGACGGATCGGTGTGTCTTTTAGTCCCTTTTCCCGTGACTCACTCAGCTTTAATCGTGCAATATGTAGTTTCCTTCATCATTACCTAAAAGCAGCCGGGACGCCTGAGATCGTCAAGCGGTACGTCGCCTCGTCTCTCCCTCTGTTTCATGACCCAATGCTCACACAAAAACATGTAGCGTCGAGGACCTCGCGACCCAGAAAGGTCTATCAATGGCTCAGATTGCGGTCATGTGGTCCCTCTCGAAGGAGGGTGTTACGGCACCCATTGTGGGTACGACGAGCATCAAGAATTTGGAGGAGCTAATTGGTGAGTTTGTTCATTCATCATTCTTCCTCCCGAAATTTGCTTTCCTCAGAGAGAGGTGTCGTTCGTGTGCATACCACCATTTCTTATGTATCGTACGGTTTTGATATTTTGTTTTGTTCGACTTTTGCATTCGAATGCTGATGTCACTTTCACCCCGATGTAGCCGTGGCACATATGAAGCTGACAGAAGAGGAAGTTAAGTATCTCGAGGAACCATATGTCGCACAGGCGGTTATTGGACATTCGTAAATGCCATGATCAGGTCCGACAGGCGGTTATTGGACATTCGTAAATGCCATGATCAGGTCCGCAAGATATACAAAGAAGGTAATGCAGAGAAAGCATTGATTGCTTACTTACAAGGGGTCCGAAATTCATGTTGTTTCAATCACATAACCGATCACGCATGCGTTTAACAGAAAGATTTATACATGTATGCCACAGTAAACTGCAAGTAAAGTGGTGTAACGGTTCGGAAATGCGAGCTTCAAATAAACCAACACTAAACGGCTTCCACAAGATCAACCCCCTGGGTTTCGAGACATGCTTCCCCATACTGGCGCGTCGTTTCTTGTGATCTACGACCTTGGGGAACCCTATATTGTAATACATCTCGCTGACACAGCCATGCAATGAATATCTCGGCTATGTTGTTAACATTCTGCCTTGAAATGTTTGTATGGAGTTCGATTACAACTTTGACCATGATCAAACCCCATTTGATGCACATCTACTCCATCCTTACCCGATTTGCTGCGATAGCCTTAATTTCTATGAAACCATTTAAACCTGGCATACTCTCTTGAAATGCGGTCTCTCAAGCTTTTATCAACCTCCGGAGTCTTTTGATCGTGATAGACTGACTACGCCGCGGATTTAGAGGAGAGCTTGGGCTCAAACCTTGACGACTCTATCGAATTTCCTTGGGGACAGTTCCACAGAGTCCCTCTGGTCGAGTTGGGCATACCTGATTTTTGTCGATGCCTGAAGCAATGTCAGGGCATAACTTCTCTATTACGAGTGTGTTCCCACCCGGAATTCAACAACTATCTCTACTTCCATCATCTGAAACCCCTATCGATTGACGGACATATGGGCAATCTGAAATCAGTGGTTCGCCACTTTGCATACCTGTGATTGGGAACATATTTCTAAGCTCAACCTTCCCAAAGTCACTGCCACACCGCGGAAGAAGTTCACGACGTAGTGGAAAAATAAAAACCTGCAACGTCTATACATCGCTCTTCCAGAGAAATTTCCCTTCAAACCGTGATCAATAGAGATGATCATCGAATTGGAAATCACGAGCTCTTGGATGTGCGCAATTGGAAGACATGACAATCGACTATCGCACTGGTTTGGATCCAACCAACCTTGTTGATTTGCTCAAGAGCTCAAAATGCCCCCCTAAATATCTTCAGTACGTTCACGAACATGATTTTGATTTATCTGTGTTGCGGGCCCTCTTCGTGCTAATTTCGTCCACTGCTACTTCTGTCTATCTTTTCGACACTCAACCTGCACTCACGATTCTAAGCAACATTGGGAGAGGAAATATTCTTCCAAAGCTTGAAAACTTCATACGCAATTTAGAATCAGTCGACGCCATGTTGGACATGCTTGATGCGTATCTTGCTCGGCAGGCTCAAGTGACTCTACCAGACAAATGACTCTGCGCCTCTGCGTTTCTAGTTAATGAAGTATAGATATGTCGTTTTCAGTCGTGGTAGATAAACTCCTTCAGCAGTCGCATGCGTTTCCCTTTCCAATGCCATCGTTCGACTTTGATTTCCATTGCGAGATTTGCGACCAGTCTTCGATTCTCTCATGTGTCTGTCCGGACCTTTAGTCGCAGGACACAGGCATGCCTTTTGCAAATTTATCACAAGCTGACAGCTTCTGCAACAAGCGTTATCCGTGAGAGGGGATAGACACTACGCAGAGATCAGCTCATTATACCTGCATATGTAAGTTCAATCGGACGCGAAGCTCGGAAGGAGGGGGGTATGTAGGTCCTTTGTCTTGATAAGTGTTAATCAGGTTATTAGGTTACTGGTCTTGTTAACCATTGATTATACCTTTATTGTCAAGGTTGTTAGTTCAATTTTGCCTTGTTGATTTATTTTTCTACAGTTCCTCAAGATTCGAGCACAAGTCATGTGATTTCCTCCAAGTTAGAAGCCTGAATATACTGCACTTTGCTTCTGGTAAGAGGTAAGTAATATATGATCCTGCCAATATCTGATGACCAAGCAATCTTAGGCGGACACAGGCTCTACAGGTTGTTTACACCTCACGATCACCTCCTTCCTAAGTCCAAAGTCCATATGTTTTATTTGGGTCAGGGTCAGGTTTCGGAAGTACAGCATATCTATCCTCTGTCATCGAAAACCCTAAAGCTTATGAGCACGCAAATAGACAAACTCTTCCCTATAAGACAGCCACTTCAGAGAGTCGTAGGCCCATTCACACACCCTCACTTCGGCTCAGACTGTTTCCTGCCCCGATTTCTGTTGCTCCGTCGTACTTCTCTCCCTCTGATCTTGTGTTTGTGTCATTGGGAGACTGGCGTTTTGTCGCACCTATTATTGCTATTGTCAGGATAGGAACAAAATATGTATAACGCCCACCGTTGCTTGTAGGCAGAAGTTTATGTCGGAGAAGCCTTGTGTGGTATTTTGGCTGTCTGCAAGAGAACGTAGTGTGATCCGATCATTGAGCCTATCGTGTGGATGGATAACCTGTGTGATACCAAGCACTGGCTGGGCACGTACGAGGTCAATAATGAATTCAGATGTACTGTCTTTGTATGTTAAACGCGAGTAGTCGGATATTATGAATAATGCAACGTACAGCGGGATATAACAAAGAACATTGCCAACCAGGCAAAATTGTCCACTGTGATTAACTTCGAAAGATCAGTGAAAAACACTGCTAGAATACAGTAACTGTGAATACCCACTGTTATTAACATGGTCATTGTCGCGAGGCTGAAAATTCCTGATTAGTGAAAGATGATGAGATAGGGATGGTACTTACGTTGTCAGCATTCCCGTCTCTTCATTGAAATCGCTTAAATATTTTGTCCAATCATGTCGCATTACACACATACGTATGGTCCACACAATGAGCCAATCAAGCACCCTCTTCATCCTAAACACTCCTCACAGATGTTAGAGAGAAATTGGAGAGAAACAGAGCGATGTAGACGGTTACGTGCCTTCTAAGTGTAGTTCTGCGTTGATGAAAAAAATAATTCCCCATGGAGGATGCGATCAATACATCGAGTATCGTTGAAATTGCAAGGGACGACGCTAGTAACCACAACCACCGCTTTCGAAAATCCGTTATTGATCGTGACCTCTGCACCGTAACAGCGACACCTATGAGACTGATGCAATGCAAGAGGCACAATAACCAGAGGAACCATAAGAAGATTCGTTGATGGGCTAGTATGCAAATGCGATTTGCAAAGAACGCCTGTAGGGACGTATAAGTTTCGCGATTCAAGATCCGGTATTACTCGAAGAGGAATGCATCACCTGGATCGCGGGCCCATTGATTATCGACAAGAAAAAAGCTGGAGCAAGCGATGCAGGAAACTGATCAAGGAACTGTTGCTGTCCGTATTTTACCACTGAGAACTATGATATGCATAATTTATCGATGTCGAAACACCCATATCTTTACTAACCCAGTATAAGGAATGAGTTGACAGTAGCGTATGAGCAAGCTCTATGATCCTGTTCAAGGTCAGCTCCATTGCTGTCATTCCAAATGTCTCATCTACTATTCACCATAGTAGACCCACCTATAATATTTTCTCTCAGAATTCGTATCGATATCCAAAGAAATACCCACTTACAAATGCTTTCATACGCCAGGAATCTTTCTGGAACTGTCTGCCAATTTAGTGAGCAATCGAAGCCAAAATGCAACAAAGAACAAGATCGAACTCATAGTAGGTGAACATCTGCAGCGTCACCAGGCCGAACAAGAAATTGGAACTTAGAGCACCAAGTTCATACATGCCAAGTGTTGGAGTAACTTTCGCGGCGAAGTTTATTGAGGCTGACATTATTGCGAGCCACGTGTAGTTGGAAAGATACGTACACAGAGAGTTGTATATATCGGAATCAAAGCAGATCAATCATTTATAGACTGGCATACGCACTATGTTGAAGTCCGGATGACAGTGACATGAATAATGGAATGGATATATACTCGGAAAATTTGATTGATCTAATCAAATCATTGGTGGAGAGGTCCATGTATTCGAAGTTTGTAAGGATCGGTATGAGTATCCCACTCTACCTTTTCATGGATTGAAGGAAGGTCTATTTGGAAAGATTCAACCATTCCATCAAGCCTCTCGCAGGATGTTCATTGTATGAAGCCAGGACAAAGGCACAACCCTGTCAGTCGTTCAAGGCATCATCGATCTTCAGAAGAGTACGGAACAGAAAATGGCCCTGTGAGAACATCAAGGAGTTTGGAGATAGTCTGAGCGCCCCGGATTTAGTATGGATGAACTTGAACCTTGAAGACGACTGCGCAACTTCATCAACTGACCAAAGGTGATAAATGATACTTGTGTCGCGATGGCGATGGACCTAGTCCGCAAGATATAGAAACAGGGAGCGCGTACAAGGGATTAGTCTTCATTCAATCCATATCATGTGGGGCTGTCCACCCATCAATGATTTTCAAACAAGTGCGGAATATTGATTGCATCGAGATAACGTCAGTTAAAGTTCGAAGGATCAAGTGGAATTTTCTCCGAGACCGCCGAGTATAGCCAGTACTGCTAAAGATAGACCTAAGGCGATTCTTGTATTATGAAGTACCACTAGTCCACGATATTTGAAACCCAAATTTGAGATGTAACCCAGAAAACTTCCAATAGCAAGCAAGCTCCAAGGGACACCGTAGTTCTCCGTATATGCTGTGCTTATATCTGCACAGGAAGCCTGTACCTTTTCAGAAAGTAAAAACAAGGCATCAGCCGCTGGTGAGAATGAAATTCAGGAGAAATAGTAAGTGCCGGCGCGGTTTGACTTGCTGAGTTCGCCTGTAATACTAATAGCAATGACAAGCGGTCTAAGGGACATGACAAACTAGGCGACATGGCCGAGCGGTCTAAGGCGCTAGAATCAGGTTTCTTCACATCCTAATCTAGTCTTTCGGGGCGTGAGTTCAAATCTCACTGTCGTCAGTCAAATTTTCTTCTTACAATTTTTTCTAGTATTATGCCAACATCAAAGTACTCATTGGGTACACTACTGAACCACCAACTTATGAATATTTGAGCTTTACTTTGTAATGTTCTAATCTATACTGTGGTTTGATAAAGGCTCAATGGTTTTGAGATCCAACACTATATGATACATTTGATTCCCAAAAACATCTTGGCTCTTGGGTGATGCACTTACTTTATTGCACATTAGATGACCATCAGAGTCCATATTCACTACTACACACTCAAAATTGCAATCAGAAAATGGGCATAATGTGCTCCTGATATACTAATGGATGTCAGTACTTCTTGCAGTTGTAGTAGTAAGAGTGTCACACTTATGGAAGTGTGGCGGGCTGCAAGCATCATGGAACCAAAATCTAGGGACCAAGGAATGATCATCATTCAAGACAGGAGTATCCAAACTATCAGTGCCTTAACCATTTTTACAGCTACAGCATTATAAAATTCAATACAAACCTTGGCACATACAGCCAATGTGGCCATTTTTTTTGGTTTGATGACAAAGATTAATAGACATAGGTCTTTCCAAGATCATTCTTTCTATCCATAGTGCTACACTATCACTCACCTAAAACTGTCACTTACCTAAGGATGATGAAGTATACAAAGTATGAATATTCCCAATAAACTCAGAAAAAGTGCTGAAACTGGTAAGAATGGCTGAAAGCTATAGGCACAGGGGTACTTACCTTATCCAAATACCAGAGACCTTATCAACCAAAGTTCAGGCTGCCATAAGCAGTACAATGAAACCACAAAGCTAAGATACATATGTTGAATGATCAATAGAATGATCATAACAATAGCCAAGACACCTAACAGGTGGCAGTACTGGCTCAGCTCAATTACTCAATAACTGACACCAAGATAAGTGCCCTATTGACCTCTCAACACATCAACAACTTCACATCTCCCATGTTTTTGATACCCACCTGAGAACTCAACATAACATTGGCACCAGCATTGTTGAACTTGAAAACATGCATATAGGGTGCAAAAGGAAGTGTAGAACACAAAAAAAGTGACAACAGCAGAACTACATAATGCCTATGACAAATTGATGGCACTGGCCACTGAGCAGCCTAATGCTTGGAAACAGCCAGAATAGCAACAAAAACATGCACCATTCATCATGGTTTCTATGCAGCATGAGTACAAAGAGAGGAAGAGTTTCAAGCAGGGGAGGGGGCAAGCAATTATATGCCACAGCTTGGAGTCCCCAGGGGAGTCAATCCTTAGGCTTACAAGTATATTATTGGATTTGTCTTATATATATATTAATATTAATACTCTTTGAGCCTAATTCAAATTGATCTCCAAGTCATTTTGAATTAGACTTGATAAAAGTTATAACTATTCCTATTCTTTTTTACTCTAGTATGTTGGTATGCCACACCATGACCACTCAAAGGTACCATCAACCTTGATACCATTAACTGCTCACTGTTCTCTCTATCCCTTAATTTCTTCTCCTTTATTCATACATCTACCCTGACATACACACTTTCCATTGTCACCACTGCATATATATACACCTATGTATCCACCTGCACCCTCAGTCAACTAGACACTGAACTGAGGGTGAGTTGCTACCATACTCATATGTTCAGACCCACATACTGATGTAACTCGCATAGATTTATTAACTTACTGATTCACTCAGGTACAGTAGCTACAGTCAGCTATACACTGAACTGAAGATTTATTAACTTACCAATTCACTCAGATATACAGTTAACTAAGTTAGGGTTCTAACATAGTAAAGTGTGTGACATATGTACAGTAGGTCAAAAAATTATCCCAATGGAAACATTAAACAAAGTCATATGACACTGTTTACATCTGTTGCACACGTTGAAACCAAGTTCAACCATCTTTCTTTCACTTCATCACCACATGAAGACTGGTGACCACTCCATCAGCAGATGCAAGTCTCAAGTCTTGTATCTGTTGGATTGGGACGAGTTATCAGTCTAGCATCAACGGAGGATGGCAGAGCAAATTTATATAGATTGAGGAAAGTCAATTACAGTGGAAAACAGATGCCTAAAATAAATCCACATTGTTTTACCCAGCCATCAGCTATCCATTCCCAAGTGCCCGTGTATCAAGTCCCCAATATTCCGCTTTCTTCTTTCAACAGCAAGTGCGTCACGTATAGAAGGAGCATTGTCACGAATGAGTTGTTGGATCTGTTGAGCCTTCATTTCCTTGAAGTGCTCGAGAGTTGTCATCACAACTTCATTGTTGAGAGGCCTTTGCCACTGTATTTGTAGTGCAGTCACAAAGAGTTCATGGAGAAAGAGTGTGAGGTTTATGATATAGGCCTCCAGATATAGAGCTGTCTCTGGGCTGTAGGTATCAAAAGTTCAGTAGATATCAGGTCCCAATTACATGATGCTGCATACGCTGCATGATAATTGGAGAACAGAAAGTTGATGGCCACCATTGTAAAGCCAGCTGCACCAAATGCTATTGCTAAGGGGGGAAAAATTGGGCCAAAGATTACAGCCAGAGCAGCAACAACAGGCAAATGCTTTAATGCATCTCTAGAGATAATTATTATCAGAGTGTTCTTATTGTCCATTAAAAGACTTACAATGGGGTTTGAGATTGAGGCATGAACGGCTCATTCAACTTAAGCATTTCCATATGGAATTCCTTTCCGGCGAGGAGCTTAGATAAAGGTGTCAAGTGGACGCAGTAGTTCTTGAAGGTTCAGAACCCATGCTCACTCACCCCTTCTGGATCTCGAAAGTTCCAAACCTTGACAATGTCCATATGTATACGCCATAAACAGTCTTTCAGGACATGACCCTTGAATACTGTACTCTTTGCCAGATTTTTCCAATATTCTGCAAAGATCGTGAGCTCGCTGAAGAATCCACGAGTAAATGCACATGCTCTTGGAACCCTCTCTGATGGACACAGAGTGAGGACAGAATGCGGAGGCAACTAAGACACCCACTCAATTGAAGTTTGAACTTTCTGCTTGGGATCAATGCGCTGTGCTACAGCCCAAGGAATGAATGTCTCTTCTGTGTGGAGACACTTTCGAGTGACCTCCGTCAACTCCTCAAGTGTCTGTAAAAAGCCTAAATCGAGAGAAAATGTCAACTCTGGGTCGACCCTGTGAAAATTCCAGATGAAAGATACCAAGGAACTTCTGATTGGTTGATACTGCAACATAATTCAGCGGCTGATAGGTACTGGACCATGAGAAACGTCTGATCTTGAGGTGATCAAATTGTTGCCGAAACCCTTCAATTGACGCTCTCAAGGAACCGCGTGCCTCCTCTACGACTTTATCGTGATCAATGCTAGGGTTATTCTGTTGGTCCTGACGTCGGGTGGCCTTCAAAAAGAACTCATTATAGAGGAGGTCAAGTTTGGTAAAGACCACAATCACAGGGATTTTTTCTAGAGCGTTATGTTAGTTCAAATCAATCGCAGGAACTTGAATCAAGTCCTACGGTTCATCGCCAGCTTCAGGAGCTCTTCGTCGGCGGTCTGCATCAAGCGCAAACCAGAACGTGGGGCTTCTATACATAACCTATAAGTGAAGTATCTATGAGTTATACTTGTATCAAAGTTGCCGTATCGATACCAAAGTGCATGGAGTCGTTGCTCGACGGGTAGGCCTTTCTTAGATCTCTGACGGATGAACTTCTCGACAATCCCCCAATGATTAGTAATGCCTGGCTCAAAGCCCTTGCTATCGTGAAGCAAAAACCGTGGGTTATCCTTGGACGTGTACTCGCGATCAATGTCTGCTGTTCCAGCACGGCCATCAGCAATGTCAATGTGCTATTTGCGATTGGTCAAAAGTGAAGTTCAAAGAAGGACCCCCGTGTGAGGAGCTCGCCTCTTGGTCAATGCTAAAAATGTTGGCGATAAGTCGTGACTTTCCCACTCCTGTCTGTCAAGGCAATTTGGTCAAATATGGTCAATACTAAGTACAATTGGAGAGTGCCTACATTTCCCACGACCAAGATACGAAATCTTCATCAAGGGTGGATCTACTCGTAAGCCAAGTTTTGAGAACCCAGGTGATTTAGAATACATGCCTCGGACATCGAGCGAGAGTTTCGTCTACTGTTGATGGAAGCGAGGGGGGAAGAGGTTCCATGACGACATGTTCAGCGGATGATAAAGAGGCCATCGCGGGAGACAGAGGTGTATTATTCACCATGACGGATTGAACGGCCATGCCATAGGGAGGGGGAGCATTCATCGTGATGGTAGGATGAGAAACGCAATTCCAATTATCAATAGCACGACATAGAGATGACACGTGCAAATAACGTAGCTGTCGTTCAGGATGCAAAGATTTAGAGGCGGCGGGCTGATCGCAAAGACATAAGATTTCAGATACCAGAAATGTATGGCGCTTCTGAGATATCAAACTTTAAAGAAAGTGTGGAGAAAAATGAGGTCATTAATCAGAGATGCATACGAAACAGTTGAAAAAGACGTTAGAGAGACAGATCTATAATCGGCAATTTCCGAGTCTAGTTATAGTATGGGATTGCCCCTGATGATACGCAGCTTGGAAGAGCAGTCCTGCCAATGGGAGTATTCCGAGTCTAGTTATAGTATGACTCTGAATTGTGCCCATTTCCGGGATTGCCCTGATGACTACGCAGCCTCCTTGATCTTTTTTTGTATTTGACCTTATTTGTCCATCTTCCTATCCTGTAATTTGTTTTTTTATTTCTCTTTCCTCAGATCACTCAAACCTCACCATAAGCCAATGCTGCTTAATGCTATAACATCTCTAGTCCTATTTCCAACCCCCGGATCATCTGACCCATTTCCCTCTCCTCGAAATTTTTACCACCAAGTTTTCTTTACCTCTCTCTTGAATCTTGAGCTGACTCTTGAGCACGAAACTTATGCGTAACCGTGCATCGAGTTCAAGAATCACCTATTGTGATTGAGTGCCTCTCATTTGGGGAACTCCCTGTACTACTAGTCGTTTCTCTCCTTTTCTATCATCTCTCTACTCCTCTCGTCCGTATCCTGTCGTGAGGCGACCCCGCACTTCGCCAACAAATCCAGCATCTCTCAGGAGTAAAACAACGAGGTCAGGTAGCTCGAATACTCTCTGAGTCATTGGAATAGGTACATCGCCTCTCGATGTGCATGAACAATAATAGTGCATTCGGGTTCGACCCCCGCTGTATCTGACTAGCCTTCTCTTAAGCGCGAACGCTGTGTGTAAAAGTGCATACTGTGATTATATCTGATTCGGAGTCTCCCCCGTATTATTACTTCCCCTCCTTCTCATCTCCTCTCGTCGCCGTCTGCATCCCCCTGTAAACATCTATCAGGTACAGGACAGGGCCAACGTAGTTCAACCACATTGCAACACCTTCAAACCATCATCTTGATTCTTGACAAGACTTCAACGTTCAACGTTCAATATGCATCTTCAAGTTCGACCCATTGCATTGATATCCCCCTCCTCTAAGCTTTTTTTCAGTCCTCGCGCCTTCTCCCTCCCTCCCCATCTCCACACACACAGTCCACTACATACCAGTACAAAGCCAATGTGGCTCAATGGTAGAGCATCGCTTTCCTACCATATGGGAGGCATACTTTGAGGCGAAGGTTGCGGGTTCGATCCCCGTCATTGGTTTACTATCAAGACTCTCAACGTTTTTTTATCTTGTTCTTTGCTTGCTTCGCAATTAATTTCTACTTCTCCCCAGCGCACGAACGTCCGCATCCACATGTGTAGCTAGTCAGTCCCCTTCCAATTTTCATGACACACACGACATTCTGTCTATAGCTACACCTCTAGAATATAAACACACTAGACCTACTCCTAGTCCGAGTCCGAGTCCATCTCAACTCGCAAAAGTCCCTATTCCAAATCGAGTCTGGCCTTTGCATTCCCAAGTTGCATTGCAAGCTTACTGACTGGCCGACCGACTGACGCCAAAATCACGTCGTGGATAACGCAGAACGCAGAACGCACGCACATCATCCCTCGGTCGGCACCAATCCAGCCCTCCACACTACGCGAGCTAACCATTTCCATATTCGCCGTTCGCACATCGTCCACGCGCGCCCGCATGCACTACACACCCCTCTTTGGGGGCGCAGCGCCAGGCGGCAGGGGCAGCAACGGCGGGTGCGTTGGCTGCGTTGGCGAGCTTGTGCTGGCGCTGACGATGGGAGAGGTTGATCCTGAGCTTGATCTCGGACTCTGAGGCTGAGGCTGAGTGTGTTGCGAGACGGATGCCGGTGGGATTGGAGATGCGAGTGCGGATGCAAATGAGGTTGAGCTTGTGGTTGTAGACGTAGAAGCTGAAGTTGAGAGAGTATGAGAAGGTGGGGAGGATCCCGGCGTCGTGATCGCAAGACCAACAGGCGCCGGGGGAAGATCAAAGTATACGGACTCTTCGCGGTCGTGCGCAGAGCTCGGGCGGAATGGGTCGTTCGTAGATGTGGACGAGTTTACAGTAGAAACATCCGCTCCTGACAACGCACCAAGCTCGAAGGCGCCGGGTGGTATACCGAGGGGAGTCGTTGCGCGCGATGTGGTAGAGGAGGGTGGGTAAGGTGGGGCGAGCCCCCTCGACTTCATCCGCACGCCTTCCTCATCGTCATCGAAAAAGTCCTCGCCGTCCAGCAGCCCCCTGTGCTCCCTGGCGTTGCGTCTGCTAACGAGGGCCTCGAGCCTCTCGCGAAGCTTGCGGCGGTGGCGGCGGTACACAAAGGTGGCGACGAGGATGAGGAGGAGGAGGAAGAGGGTGCCGAGGGCTGTGGCGGCGATTGTGGCAGTGCGGTGGGAGGAGTGGGGCTGGGAGATGGGGTCGGGGAGGAGGGCGGTGGGGAGGGGCGTTGTTACCTGAGGAGGGGTTAGTGGAGTTGGAAGAGGGATGGGTACGCACGCACGGTGGTGAGCTGGTTGGAGATGAGGGTCGTGAATGTTGTGAAGGATGTGTGGGTAGACGAGGGCGGTGGGGGAGTGAGTGAGCCTGGGCTGGCGGGTTGGGAGTGGGCACTAGAAGCCTGCGAATGCGTCGGTGGGTCTGAAGATGAAGACGAGGAAATCGTTGATCTGCACAGTGAGTTGGTAGTTAGCCAGCAACGCGAAGAAAGACATACGATGACGATGACGACGACGACGACGACAAAAACGACGAAGACGAAGACGACGAAGACGACAAAGACGACGTAGACGACGATGATGACGACAAAGACGACGACGACGCGGAAGAATCAGTTATGCTCGACAGCGTCTGCGAAGTAGTCGGCGCAGCAGAGCTCAAAGTCGTCGACGGTGCGCTGTGACTGTGAGATTCTGCAGACTATATGACACGATCGGCGGCGGAAGCAAAAACGGCGGGTGATGACGAAATGAGCAATGCACTTACTACCGTGCTCGTTGCAGTTGTGCTCGCGGACGCCGTTTGGCGCGGTTCGAGGCCATTGCGCTGCATAGTTGGCGGGCGGAAACAGCACCCCGTGTTGTGGGGTGTTTATCAGTGCAAGAATGGACATTCGTCGAGCGCGGCAACTCAGTTGGACCCGAAAGTTTGAAATAAGTAATATCTCTCGTTTGCAAGATTCATACAAGTACAGGACATTCAGTCCATCACCAAACTCAGATGGTACCGTCAAAATATTGAAGCTTCCGACGTAGTATTCTTCCAGCCTTGGAAATTCTCTCTCGAGCAAATTTGGAAGATTCTTAACAATTACATGTCTCAGTACTTCAATACAAATGTATGGTGCCCCACTTTCTTCATCGCATCTCTTGCGATATCAGCACAATAAAGTTGCGTACGAGGCCGGAGCTGCAAACATACTAGCCCCTGACGATGGGGATACAGCTTCGTCGAACAGTGAACTGACCATAACCCTACATTTTGATTGTCAGAATGGGGTAGTATTGGGATACTTTGAAATAGACTTACGAGCTGGGTACCACTACAACATAAATGTTGGCTCTTGTTACAAGAGCTCACTTCATCATTGGATTGGGGTGCGTTCAGCCACCGACATCTGAGACCGCTGGAGGGGAAGGCATCAAGGAAGGCTCTCTCTTTGGAACAAACGGGAAAGACATACAGAAAATCTTCCACTGTATCAAGTGCAGCGGCACCGGCATACATGAGCGCGCTCACGGCCGCTTTCGTGTCGGACTAGGTACGTTGCGTATCAACAGTAATGCTTATCAGGGCTTATTCGTGTCCACAAAACTCAGACTACTTACACGTCCAAGCTGGTCACAACACTGAACGTGGTCACGTGGGCACTGACTCAAGGGGATAGACTAGAATACAGATACAAGTCAGTGTCCCACGATCGCAAGGTGTGTGTAGCTGGCCGACTTACGACCTGAGGAGTGGTAGCAGCAGACACAAGTAGAGTGGATGCCAGCACAACCGACACAAACGTGGCGACGACTCGAGGAAACATGTTGTAACAGCAGATGTTTCTGGACTTCTCTAGAGGGGGGATGAGGAATGCTGGTGGTCATTACGAGTCGGGCTTTATGCAAATTCTCTATTACTCGTTGCATGTTGCCATGAATGTTCAACGTCTCACTTCTCTGTGGCGCACGCCGCGCTGTCACCTTTTTTTTCCGTTCCGTGCATCCCTTTGTATGTATCTATCTCCGCAGTCGTGACGACCCTGAAACCCTCGCTTTATCTTGTGGTCGCGAATTGAAAATTTCATACATATTTCACAATATCGGCTGCTCCGACTCTTAGATTCTGCGGACTATAGGAATGAATGAATGGGGCGGGGATAAAGTAATCTCAGTACTCTACTCCGGGTATTATAGTGATGTACGTAGTCTCGGTATATTAATGTTGTATGGTAGAGCTTTCCTCGCAGATTTTCTGTGGCTTGTGTGATTGGACTTGGTTACATGGCGAACGACTCCTGATGGCCATAGGTAGGTGGAGTGAAGTGATCTATCGAGAAGTTAGTGGTTGAGGTAAGTTCGTATGGCTATGGCTTTTCAGTGTCGCGTACGCGGGGTGTCTCGACTTCCCGTGGTGTGTACCTTGCCCTCAGGACCAGATGATCACGAAATGAGAAATGTACTTACTGCCGTGCTCGTTGGAAATGTACTCGCCAATGGCATTTAGCACGGTTGGAGGTCGCTGCGCTGCACAGTTGAATCGTTTGCGAGGATAGCCGTGACGGTCTGTGTGGGTACGGAAGAACACCCCGTCCTGTGGGGTACTTACTATCAGAGGCAATGCTCTCCTGCCAAAAGCTATCTTTCTTGTTCGGAGTAATTGGCATGTTGAGCACGGAACTCAGGTTTTGAAAGGGGGGATCTGTAGTCTTACAAATAAAAGATTTGGAAGATTTATAAAAGTGCATTACTTGAATAAAACAAGACAGACACTTAGTCCATCAACAGACACTTAGTCCATCATGATCTCTTGTAATGATCAAGAAGAGGGTTGGGTACAAGACCACAAAAGATGTTGACTATTACCCGCCTCATTAGTTGTAGGTCGTGGGCACGCAATTACGTTGAAGATAGCCGTCCGTACCCTAAATTTCGATTATCAGAATCGGCTACTTACTTGTTATAAACATCCAGCAGAGATAGACTTACGATATCATCGCTGCTACAACATGTTTTCGTAAATGCTTTACACCCATTATAAGGCCGACGCTGACATGTGACGCCACTGAAGGGGAAAGCATTAACGAAAGGCTCGTTGGAAAATAGACGGGAAAGGCATACAGCGAGTATTCCACTGCGTCAAGTACACTGCCAGCACCCGTCACCTCAAGCAACTGCTCGATGACTGGTGAATCGGACTGAGGACAATGAATCACGCGTGTCAACAGCATTTCTTATGATACCCCATAGACGGTACCTACAGATCCAATCTGAGCACAACATCTGCGTTGGTCGCCCGGACACTGGCTGAGCGGCATAAGCTACATTACAAAATATAGTTAGCGGACTCGGTCTGGTGCAGGGGTCACGAGCCATGATCGGAGATCTTACAGTAGATGCGGCAGACACAAGAAGCGTAGATGCCAGTACAAATGTAGCAATGACGCGCGGGAACATTGTTTCTTAGAGAGAGCTGGGGAATCGTTTCTTAGAGAGAGCTGGGGAATGTTCAGGCTGTATACAAAACCACTTTATAACCCGCCAGTATGTCACCCATGAATGAGATGTCACGCATCTGACATCTCCTTTTCAGGCTTAACTCCTCTTACGTGGCGCACTATCACTTTCTGATAAAGAGTCAAGGTGACTCGTGACAACCCTCGGACCTCGGCTGTCCAAGTTAAGTTTGATTATAATTTCATTTTCTCTCTCCATGGTTTCAATTCTACAAGGATGTTCCGATATATATGTATGTTCCTTGTTTTGAAGAAGTCACGTGGTACTTCATTGATCACCCGTGGGAGCGCGTATTCAATGAGCGAGGACAAGTCATGACAGTGACCTGATCCCCTCGCCAGAAGTGATCCCCTCACCATTGGCACCTGATAAGAATGCATGCCGTCAACACGTCCCGTTTTATCGATTACCGAATTTTCCGCAACCAGTCGGACCGAAATTTTGCCATTTGCAAAAGGTGGTTATTCCAGTCTTGTGTACGTAATACACTCCCTGACTCCTGAGGGCGGTGGGCA